CATTTTTGAATAGTTGACAGTGAAAGGAAAGTGTGAGTGAATGTAAATGTTACCACAGACTTTTGGATGAGATGCGTATTTTGAAGGCAGCCTTACAGGTGTAGCTTTCAGAAGCAATATTTATTTAACTCTCAAATTTTCATTTCTCATATTCTGCAAACATTTACTTAATATATTTCCTTTTCACACAACTTCAAATAGATATTTTAAAAATTTGAGTAAATTATTATATTTAGAAATTAATACAAAGAAATACCCAAATTCTTATGTTAATGTTAAAAGTAAACGTTTAAGATTTAAAGTGGAACTTCCTTAAAACCTAAGGAGGCTAGCTTTCAAACACAACAGCAACATAGCTTATTGCAGCATTTTTATGTTAAACTAATTCTTCAAGCAGCTGCTTACACCTTCAGAAAAGTTAGTTGAAAAGGGACCAATATAGATTTAGTGTAAAAATAAAAAACTCCAGTTATAGCTAATGTAATTAAAAGGAAAATAGAATAGCATATTTAACATATAGAATTAATAAACAGCATCATTTTTAAAAAACAGAAATTATTTGATCATGCATGTGTGTTGTAAATGCTATAGCAGAAATCCTCGTAATATATAAGGAACAAGGGTAACAGCTGTTTTAATGGATTTTAATGATGTGCGGTATGTATTGCACTCTGTATTAATAAGCATTGGGGTATATGATTCCCATTCCAGCCCCAGTATCACTGAATGCATGGGATAAACTTGTGCTTTATTGTAAGGGCTCCTCATTTCTTCATTTAGTGGAGCTAGAAAGCTTACAGCCATCTGCGTGAAATGTTAGCCAAGCTAACAGATGTATGCTATGGATTGGCTCCCACATCCGGCTTTTTGACCAAATTCCTCTTCTTCCCACCCAGATGTTTTTGGAGACACGTACAGAGAACTTCTTGAAGCTTGTCCAGGGCAGGGAGGAAGGGGCGGTAATATTTTGATGTCCTGCAGGGGGCAAAGGTGACCTCTGATTTTCTCTAGTCTGCTCACACACTCCAGTTGAATCCAAAGCTTGACCTGCTCCTCCTCATCACTTGTCCTCTGGAATCACAAGTGGCACAGCACCCTGTATCATTCCCTTTACTGAGACTTCTGGGGAGGACTGAGGTGTCTGCTAGGGAGGGGTCAGAGAAGCAGGGTGTCGATGAGGTGGTGGTCAGGGTTTCTTATCCACTCAATTGGCTCTGAAAGTTTGGAGAAGCAGTGGTTTCACTTTTGAGATTATTAAAATCTTAGAACTACATCTCTTTATCTATTACTCTTCACCCCAGTAGATAAAAGAGCTGTGTGTTTTCCTGAAAACAAATGCTTGTTGGAAGCCATGGGGACAAGAAAGATGACATCCTCTTTTGTGGCCTTCAGTTGAATATCACTTTCCTTTTTATTATTCTTCTATCTTATTTCATATCCTTTTTGAGCTTTCTCTGGCTCTTAAGGGAAACGTGTGCTCTCATGTTGCTCACCCAGAGGCAGTCCTTTAACCGACTCACTGCCATGAAGTCATTTCAGACTCAAAGCGACTCTATAGGACAGAATGGAACGCCTCATAGGATTTCCACTGCTGTGAATCTTTACGGAAGCAGACAGCTTCATCTTTCTCCCACGGAGCAGCTGTGCTCGAACCACCAACCATACTTTAATCACTTCACTACCAGAGCTCCTTTCTCTTAAACTAGCAGTATACAACAGGACCACTTTCTGTCTGTCAGTTTGTCATACTGTGGTGGCTTACATGTTGTGATGCTAGAAGTGATGCCACTGGTATTTCAAATACCAGTAGGGTCACCCCTGGTGGACAGGTTTCAGCTGAGCTTTCAGATTAAGATAGATTAGGAAGAAAGGCCTAACGATCTAGAATATTGTCCAATATAGTGCTAGAAGATGAACCCTTAGGTTGGAAGGTACTGAATGTATAAAGTGGCTGCAACAGTAAAGTCAAGCATACCAGTGACCATTAAGATGGTACAGGACCGGACAATGTTTAATTTTGTTTACATAGGGTTGTCATGATTCGGAACTGACTCAATGGCCGTTAACAATATAACAGCATTCAACAGTAACTGATAGGTCATCTGGTGGAGGTGGGGAACTCATGATATCACTGAACCAGGAGTGCTGCCCACATGTTTAATTAATAATGAATCACTAAGTACCATTTTAGATTAATGTCGTATGGGTCCATCTACCTCTAACCCAAATAGAAAGGGGAAGATGTTGTATATGTGCATATTCTCCACTAGCTCTATTCTCACCTTTGTATATATGTACACAATACGTGGATCACAATCTGATTTTGTGTTTTAATTGGCATAGTCCTTCCTAGGTACTCATATATGCTTACCGCTTTTACAAGTTTTCAGTCCTCCTACACCCCTTGTAGGGTGGAACTTCTGTGACTCTGTTTGTGTCTCACCAGCAGTCTTATGAAAAAGGTTTGAGAAAGGAGGAGGCCCTTATCAGAAGCCTACATATATTGGTTGGATTTCTGGTCTTTCAATTAGAGCTTTTGGCTGATTTTCTGCTCTTCACAAGTCCTATGCAGAGGAAGGAATGGGAGCTCTAGAATTCATAGGGTCCTGGCATTTCAGACCAAACAGCAATTTTCAGATAGAAAGAATCCTGCAGATGGTTAAAATTGGCCCTCAGCATTGCTGATGTTTTGTTGCCTGAGATCAATTGGCTGTTGGACGTAAGTGGAATTAAAGTCTGTCCTAAACGATCATGTGTTTGGGCCAACTCAGGACCACACCACAGAGAGGGTTCCAGGGGATGGTGGGAGGGAAAGACCCTCAACCATACCAAACAGAGTCTTTGAGATAAGATAGGAAATGCTTAGAAGATTTGAATCAAGAGAAACCTCATGACCTCATAAATCCGTGAATTCTATAATCTTTATTTTCTTCCTTGCTCCCAAATTCCTTGGACAATGTGAAGTAAGACTGCTAGGTTTTATTTTTTCTAACTTACATGCACTTTTCACTAAGTTAAAGATCCAGTGTTTTAAGTGAATTTGTTTCTAGAAGCCATAGATGGCTGGACATTCTTGGACAGTGTGCAGACAAGTGAATTTGCTTGCTTATTGGCAAATGTGTTGCCGTTGCTGTCTGGGTACAGGGGACAGTGTATTTGAACAAGAAGTGCTTTTGCCTTGAAAGTAATTTGTGTGCTACATGCTTTATCTGGTTTAATGCTCACAGCCACCACATTTCAGGGCCCTGTCTACCATCCTGAACGGGAACCTAACCATCCCACTACTCTTACTGAAATTAGCTTTATCACCTCTGCTCATGTTTTATCGTGCACCATGTAAACGATTGTATTGCAACATTAAAATGCATTACAATATCTCCAAGATGGAAGGTAGAGGGTGAGAGGAAATTAAATGCGGCTTTTGTACTGTATCATCCAATTACATCCTCTGTTTTTTGGGTGCTAGCTTAAGTAGCCAAGCCAAAGCCTTAAACGAAGAGAGAAGAAAAAACACCCGGCCTCAAACTCTCAGGA